TTATAAAGTTCAGGGAGGAGGGTGAATCGGTGGCGGAACCCATGGACGCAGCATACAAGGAACCCAGCTAGGTGTTGGACTGGTCTTTCTTTGAGGGTGTCCAGCTCCATTTGGGGCTCCTGGAGGGTTCCAGGCCCACCTCCCCATCCACTGGCCCTGAAGTCCGGGGGTGAAGCACCCAGTTTAAGGGATTATAAAGGATAAGAGACATGAGTTCTGGAGTCAGGCTGATCTGATTTTTTATCAAGAGAGAATGTGAATCGGGGAGAGGGAGAGATAGAAGAAGCTTAAGCAGGCTCAATCCCAAGGGTCTGGGTTTGTGATCTGAGCTGAAATCAAGTCGGACACTTAACTGACTTAACAGCCCAGGCGCCCCAGGCTGACCTGATTTTGACCTGGTTTGTCCACTTGTTAGCTATGTGGCCTGGGGGCAGTCATTTAGTCTCAGTTTTCTCATCTCTAAAATGGGGATAATATTACTTACTTGATATTCTTATTGGGAAACATTAATTTAAATGGGATAGGTATTTGCAACGCTCAGTGGCTGCTCAATAATAAATGTCCTTGTCATTAATTTTTGCCTTGAAACTGTTACTTTCTCCCTTTCTACTCACCTTGCTCTCCCCTCCAGGTGCTCTCTCCCACCTCACTGTAAGGAGCTGAGTTCTCCCAGAGGCTACCACCGCCAAACTGCTGGACTGACCTCCATCTAGATAGGGTTCCCATCTGCCAGATTTTTCACTTTCCCCAGTTTCCCTCATCCAGACTATCCTATTCCTTGTTCTCATGCCCAGCTCTCTGTTGGTGGGTAACTAATCCTCAAGGGTCTCAGCTGATGGCTACATGCCAGGCCTGTTTTGCACGCTGAAAGAGACCTTCAGTACCGCAATCTAGTGGCGCTTCTAGGTTGGCAGGGCCAGTGGAAGCGAGTCTGGGGGGCCAAGAGGGCTCTTCTGGGCAGCTGGGATCATCACATGGCACAGGGACTCATGCGCTCTCATCCCCCCGCCCCCGCATCCTAGAGAAGCCTGAGTGGCAAACACAGAAAAATGGAAACATCTGGAATATAAGCAGGATACAGCTTTCTCAGGGTCAGGTTCTTAAGTCAGTGTGGAAGGCAACCATCGAGCAAAGTCAAAACAGCTTCACACCGTTTCTTGCTTGAGTTATCAACTGGAGCAGTTGGCTAGATGTAGACCCCGCCCCGATGCCACTGCACGAACGATGCTTGTCTGCACAGTGGCCTCCCCGGGAGAATGAGGTGAGCCAGCACTGGCCTGCACCTCCCACTTCACCCTCACTCTGACCCCGGAGACCTGCCTGCACCGTTTATTTCTTCCTGTTGCTGAATGTGAGTTACATACTCCTGTGACCTCATTCGAGTACATAACAGATCCAACTAGTTCTCCTTTGTGTAGATTCCACAAGTGTGGGTGTGCCCTTGAACGCTTGATTTATCGCCGGCATAAGGTGTCCCTCCAGAGAACTGTTTCCCCAGGAGTCTTCAGGGCAGGCTGTGGGTGGGGGCACAGTTCCCAAACAGCTTCAGTAGTGGGGTGAGTGCGCAGTATAATGTGCTCCGGAAACATGCCAGCTTCCCTACCATCTTTTCTTCCTTAGGGCACAGAATGGAACTTCATTCACCCTCCAAAGAAAATCAAGATTCCTTTCCAGGTTTCAAGGGAGAAACCTGTAGCCACACTTAATTAACCTCTCCAGTAAAGGCTGGTTAAGAGAGCTGTGGCAAGCAGCTTTGAAAATGGCGTCCGTAGATCCCTGCCTCCTGGTATTCAGGCCCTTGGGTAACCCCTCCCCTTGGGTGCAGGCTTGGCCTAGCGATTTCCTTCCAAGGGAATACAGCAAAAGTGATGGGATGCCCCTTCTGAGATGAGCTAAGAGGCTGGACTTCCAGACTGCGGCAACGTCTCTTCGCTCTTCTGCTTGCTCTTGATGAAGCCGAGACGCCATGCTGCACGCAGCCCTATGGAGAGGCCCATTCGGCAAGGCACTGAGGCTCTCAGATCACCAATCTGCGAGGAACTGACTCCTCACCATGAGTGAGTGTGGAAGCAGATCCTTCCCCAGTTGAGTCCTGGGATGACCACAGCCCAACAATGTGGATGGCAGTCTGTGAGGGACCCTTAAGCGGAGGATCCAGCTACATACAGATTTCTGACCCCCAGAAACTGTGAGATAACCACTGTTGTTCTAAGCCAATACAGTTTGGGGTAATTTGTTCTGTAGCAACAGAGTTCAGAAACACACATGAAAGTGGATGTAAAGATTAACTGGTTTCAACTCACCATTCTTTTTTTTTTAAAAAAAGTATTTATTTTTGTTTATTTGGGAGGGAGGAAGAGAGAGAAGGAGAGAGGTAGGGAGGGGCAGAGGGAGAGAGAGAATCCCAAGCAGGCTCCATGCTGTCAACACAGAGCCCAGTGTGGGGCTGGATCCCACGAACTGTGAGATCATGACCTGAGCGGAAATCAAGAGTTGGATGCTCAACCGACTGAGCCACCCAGGTGCCCCTCAGCTCATCATTCTTAAATCCAGGTCTTCTTGGAAGAAAGCAGGAATTGCTTTGAGGTGAGAGAGATGGGTTCAGATCTCGCCTGTGTGACCTGTGTAAGCTACGTACCACCTATGAGCCGAACTTTCCTTATCTGAAGGGTGAGAGTAATGCCGTCTGCCTTCACAGGGCTTGTGAGGACCAAGGGCGATCACACATGGAAGGGGCATGGCAGATGTTCTGTTAAGTATTTGCTATGTCTGTTCTCAGCCTGTGTGCCACCTCGAGGCGCGCTGTAAATCCCCACCAAGAGCAGGCTGAGGTTGGCCGTCGGGGCAGGCCTGACAAGTCCTCCTGTGGGAGCGGCTCTCCAAGGCCAAGGCTGATGGTGCCTTCCCTGGCTGATGTGAAACCACCAGGTGACCTTTGGCAGTGCGGCCAAGAAAAGCAAGTGTGCATTGTTATTTTCTTGGGAGCATTTCAGTGCAGATGGTGTGGTGCTTTCAGGTCCAACTTTTGTAAAGAAGTGTCGGGGGGGGGGTGCCTGGGCGGCTCAGTCGTTTACACATCTGACTTCGGCTCAGGTCATGATCTCATGGTTCGTGGGTTCAAGCCCCACGTCTGGCTCTGTGCTGACAACTCAGAGCCTGGAGCCTGTTTTGGATTCTGTGTCTTCCTCTCTCTCTGCCCTTCCCCTGCTCACACTCTTTCTCTCTCAAATATAAACAAACATAAAAAAAATAAAAGAAAGAAGTGTCAGAGTGGGACAGACCTTCTATGAAGCACTTTTGTGAGACGAATATGCAGTAATAAGCCCCTGAGAAACAGACATCCTCAAGTCGGACTTGCACAGATAGTTGATGTTTCATAAAGTTTAGAGTTTGCCTTCTCAGGGAAAATTACATTTCCCAGTGCTAAAGAAATATAGCATAAGGCTAAGGCCTACTTACTCATTAAATACCAGAAGTAACCCTATCTGTAACACACATTTCCCTGATTTCCTGGGTTCACATAGAGAAGGAAAACATTTTGAGATAACCTTGGGTGATTTTGCTTTTATGTGACAAGCCTGTTGCTAAACTCAAGTACCAAGAAAGGTTTCAAGAAACACTAGTCTGGGAAACGTGATTATCACAGGAGCCTGTGGATTTACTTCTTCTTCACCAGTAAGGCCAACCTTTCATGTCTTATTAGAAATAAAGGGCACGATATTTATTACAAGCCTGAACCGTGTAGACAGAGCAATGACATACAAAAGCCGTAAGACAGTGGCAAGCTCAAATTAATAGCCTAGTTACAGTCTATCACAAACTGGGAAGGCCTCCTTCATGTCCTGGGTTTGGGTTAAGCTGCAATCCCTACAGTAATAAGAGGTTTTGTGGACGGATGGAAACCTGATCCTCTGAAAATCCAGAACTGTTTTGGGTGTCTCAAGAAGGCAAAGCTGTCTTGGATATATATTAAAAAAAATTTTTTTTAATGTTTATTTATTTTTGACAGAGAGAGAGAGAGCAAGCATGAGAGGGGGAGGGGCAGAGAGAGAGGGAGACACAGAATCCGAAGCAGGCTCCAGGCTCTGAGCTGTCAGTGCAGAGCCCGATGCGGGGCTTGAACTCACAGACCGTGAGATCGTGATCTGAGCCGAAGTCGGACACTCAACCGACTGAGCCACCCAGGCGCCCCTTGGATATGTATTTTAATTAGACACCTTCAGCTTGTCCTACAAGTTAAGTGGAGGCAGAAAGACCGGGTGTCGGCACCACCCAGAACTTCTTGCAGGGGCTGCCTGACTCCTGAAGGAATATCTCTGCAGGCAGTAATTGCACAGCTTAATTCTTCTAGACCGAACCACTTCAGATTTATGCCAGTGAAAAGCAAACGTTATTTGTAAGTCATTTAATTGTGTTACTGTCTCTCAACTTTATCAGATGCTGCTGAGGCCAAGAGGGCTGCGCGCAGTCCTGTGGGATGCTTCGGAGCGCTCCCAGGCTCGTTCTAAATACCCACAGCTCCGAGACCCCAACGCTGCTGCTTTCAGACTCATAAGAAACGACTAACTTAATGGGTTCAAATGGTATTTGTCTCAACTCAGGATCCATGTTGAAGGTTGCATCTCCAGCACATTCACAACCTTGATTACAACAGAGTTCCATTAACTAGCACACACTTAAGTTCAAACCTGGTTTATTAAGTTCTTTGGTTAAATATTGTTTCTACACCCTTTTGGAGCATTTATAAGAACAAAGATAATGCTATTTTTTAGAAAGACTGAAAACACATCTTTTGCTTTTTTTCAATGTAAAGACTGAATTTACATTGTGCACTGTTATAAATTCTTATAATTAGGCCAGACTTATAAAAAGGTAGGGCTTTTGTTGTTGTTTGTTTTGAAAAATAGATTCTCCTGGGCTAGCCGACATTGCTGTCCTGGGACCCGGACCCACAAGAGTCTCTTGGTAAAGGCTGCTCGGCACATGGTCAGGGAAGGCGGTCAGCTCATCATATCCAGACTGCACGGCTCGGTGCTGCCATCAGTCCGCAGGGCCTCTGCCACATCTCTTCTGAAGACGGACAGGTTCTGGGTGAACCTGTGGAAAGAGGAAGAAAGGCCAAGGGCAGTGGCAAGGCGGAAGTTATATGAGCCTCTGGAGGATAAAGCCACTGTGGAGCTCAGAACCTTGGAGAGAGCTCCAGGTCCTGGCTGAGCTCCTGCCTCCCGCCTCCACTGCAGCCATTACTTTTGGCCACCAACACCCCCCTCTCCACCTTCCCCTGCCGGAAAACAAGGGTTACCACCATATATATCCAGACCCATTTGAGGGGTACATTTTGTGGGTGTACTATTTAAAATGAAAAAAAAAAATCAAATTACACAGAGATGGTAAGGAATATAAAGGAAAGAATCAAACCTTTTGTGCCAGGCACTGGGTTGAGTTTACGTATAGATTCACTTAAGTATCACAAGTCTTCCCAAAGGTAGGTATTTGTATCCTCATTTTGTGGATGAGAAAACCGGGCTTAGTGGTTCAAAAAGAGGGGGCACTGGGCTAGATTACCTGAGTTCAAATCCTGGCTCCACCACTTCTTAACTGGGTGATCTTGGATGAACATTTAACCTCTTGTCTTGGTGCTCAACTTGAGTAGCTACCTCATGGGATTGTGTGAAGTGAGAATTTACCGAGTCAGTTGAGACAATGCCTGTAAGCACTCAACACAGTGCACGGTACATGGAAAGCATCTAGTCCTTGTTGGCTAGTGCTCTCTTGAACAGGAGGGCTGTCTGACATTATTTTCAACAATCAATTGATACTCTAATTCCCAAGCCTCAGGTCAAGCAATCTTCCCCCACCTGAGGCACCTGGGGTGTCCCCATTCATTAAGTCTCTTCTGCTGGCCTCAGAGGTTGCCCTCCTGCCTGACAGAGGATTGTGGCGTGGAACAAGCAGTCAAGGGTATGTGTTTGCAGAGTCTGTCACACTTGGCTTTGTATTGTCAGAGCCCAGGCTGGGGACTCCACCACAGGCTGGCTGCAGTGGTTGCTGGAATGACTGATGATTTGCATTTCAAATGGTGAAACATTTGAATGTTGCCACTTTTATAAAAGGGTGGTGCAGGCAGTTCTGCCCGCCCCCCCCCCCCAAAACCATTTTCTTTCTCTATTGTTCATTATTATCTGTTTCCCCCACTAGAAGCTCTATGAGGCAAAAACCTTGAACAGTTAGTTCACCACTGGTATCTTCAATGCCTAGCACATAATAGATGTTCAGTAAAATTTTGTGCTCTAAAAAAATGAACAATGGAGGCATACCTGATAAGTCTCGGTTTCTTTCATTTAGATCTCATTGGCAACTGTAAAACTAGGCACTCTTAAAGGTCAGGCAGAAGAAGGAACTAATGTTTACCGTGGCTCCTATGTCCTAGGTACCATGCTTTACTACATTCTGTCATTTAAATATCACAACCAATTTTGTGGATGAGAAAACGGAGGATCAGAGCAGTTGATGCCTTATTCGCTGCCACACAGCCTATAGAGGGCAGGGATAAAATTTAAATTGGAGTTTATCTGACCTCAAAGCTTGTGCCTGTTCAAATGCCAGGAAGCTTTCCTTGTCCCTCATGGCAGATCTGAGCTTTCCTTCTTTTGACCTTCTCAGTGAGTTATTTTCCCTACCTTGTGCTGGATTATAAAGTGCATAAGGGCACGGGCTACATTTTGTTCATCTCTGCATCCCTAAATAGTGCCTAGCATGGTGCTTTTAAAAAAGCAAATACCTAGTAATACTTACTGGATGGAAATAAACCGTGTTTAGGGTTACGAGGTGTAACAGAAAAGTCACATCTATATGTGAGCTGTGTTAAGCACAACCCCAGTTCATTTCCACAAGCCAGAGATGTTGGGCTTACTGCACAGTGCTTACCTGTCTCTGTTCTTGGTGGACAGGCTCTGTTCCACGCCTTCCATCAGGTTCCTGAAGCACTGGGCCAGGACCTCCTGCTTGGGGAGAGGCTGGCTGTTGATCAGGCTTGCCCTCAGTTCGCTGAAATACTGTGGGGAGACGGAACAACCTCAGGGCCCTGACTTCAAACCTGGGCCCCGAGAGAGCTGTGGGGGAGGAGTTCTACCTGCTCCATCTGCTTAGTGCTCCTGACGCTCAGGGAAGCTCTGGTCCAGGCCCCACTTTGAACTTTAAGCCTTCAGAGAAAACCAAGGCAGTAGATACATTGCTAGGTATAAACTGTATTGTCCCTTCTCATAAAAATTTCTTGCTATAATTATTCTATGGTTACTGAACAATTTAGGTCCTCTGTGGGGGACCGAGCATGTGAAGGTCTTCCTGACTCTCCTCTCCACTCATCACAGAAAGGCTGAAAGGAAAGAGGAAGGGCCTTTCAGGCTGAGGCAAAGAACTTAACAGGGAGAACTTGGGGTGACTGGAGGAAAAGGCCCAGGTATCCCCCCTCAGGCTGCATCCGCATCTGGGCTTTAGTGAATCACTTCTCAAACAACCCCAGACTTTGTCCCAAGTCCCTGTCCCCTGGGTTAGGCTGGATCTGCTCTGTTGAGGCGGGGTGCTAAAAGGGCTTGCGTAGCTCTGGGAGCGCGTTCCTGAACTAGGAAATCCACCTGTCATACCTGGTCACAAAGAACTACACAACCCCTTCTCCTCTGCTGGGGTCCGCTGGCTTTTACACAAACACAAGCTCTCGTGCTCACACACAGATTCTAATCATTGGAAACAGCTTAATTTTGGCACAAAGACAACATTTTGTCAGTCATGTGTTTATCCTTCCAAGCCCAAACAGCAGGGTATTTAATTTCCATCATACATTAAAATGGCCCACATCAAAAACACGGGTAATTAATATGTAGTCAGACTAATACTTAAATACTATATATCAGAGGCATTACACTTAAACCACAATGTCTTCTTGAACAAGATTGGGAATGCACAAAACTACTTATTTTTCCCTTTTATAATGATGCAGTGACTCACACCAAATAGAAAATTATTAGTTTTTCATCCCAAACCGTGAAATATTGCCTCCATCAGTAAAGTATAATATTGTGATGTCATAAGCTTTTTCTAAACACTGAATTTGCCCTTATTCCCTCTCAATCATTTTAAAAGAACTGCTCTCTTTTATAGAGCTTGGATTTAAATCACAATAACACCAAGGGAAGATGAATGACAGTGCTATTGAATGTGGCTAAAATTGGATACTTCGGCACAGGTGAATGATGAGACAGCTCTTCTCTTTTTGATATATTTTCTTCTTCTATTAGTTTCCTTCCAAGGCTGGGATTTCAGTTTGAATTTTAATGTATGCGGCTGCCTCTAATCTCACTGTCTTTCTCCCCAGTACTATCTTATTGTATAGACAATTCATTCTCCTGAGCAGTAATGTACTGTTCCTACCGACTGCTGGGGAGACAGGGGTGGGTTTGAGAGGAAGCTGGAGGGCCTGGGAAGCAGCCCAGGTTGGTGAGTGCATTTAACAAGCTGGAGACTCGTGCTCCCAGGTGAAGGGTGCTGGCTCTGCGGTGAGTCCCTGAGGGCCACTACAGTACAGGGCACTGGGGATCCCAAATATAAGAGGGAGCCAAGCAAGAAGCAGGAGAGTCGTAGCTCAGAATTCCCCTGGAAACAGAAGAGGGGAGTGAGGCTGAGCTTGAAAAATACTGAGCAAACCACCTGCCAATGCGTGGGGAGTGCTGGGTTCCAGGAGAGCTGGTCTTGAGGCCTCCACTTACCTGACGAAGATCTTTGGGGAAGGGCCTGCTGGGGGAACATGGCCTTGCCCGGGGCGGGGGGGGGGCTTGAGGTCCCAGCTCAAGCTCCGTTGTTCCTTCTGTTCTTGTCACAGCTTGGCCTGGCGCACAGCTACTCCCTCCCCACAGTGAACCCCTCCCATGGACCTTCCTGCGATCACACTCACCTTCTCGTTTAGCAGGATGAGCCCCAGGAGAGGCCTGGATACTGACCACTGGTTCCGACAGTCTTCAAAGACAATGGTGTTCATGAGGACAGACATCATCTAGAAGACAGAGTCATATGAAGACCCTGGCCCAGAGGTCCCCCCAGTCCCAGGTCTTTTTTGTGCTTACCTTCTACCCCTACATTTTGCCAACAGCCATGAGGGCTCTTCCTGGACCAAGAGCTTTGACTCTGTGAGCCTATAATGCTGCATGTAGGAACTCTTGGCCGGCTCCTTGATAAGAGTTCCCACCACCAAAAGCTTTGGTGAGAACCTTCTGGGTGGGCAGAAGTCAGAGGTTACGAGGCTAAGAGGATCAGTCTCTGCCTCCCAACCCTGGTATGCTGTCCTCCACGTAAATCGCCAGATAAAAGCCCAGCTCACCCTCCTTTCTGCCTCTCATTTCACCACAGGTCAAGTTATGAAGGGGCAACATCTCTCAGAGGGAGGAAGAAATGGGATACATTCCATGTGACCTCGGAATGTCCCGTTTCCTACTGGCTCAGGCTCATTTGGTCTTCACTAATTCACTTACTCCCTTCACTTTTACATGTACATACCCATCCATCCTCTTAAGTTCAAAGTCTGCAAGACACCTAAAGAGAACAGGCATCTACCGCAACCTCTGCCCTGAGGAGGTAGACGCTTCCTGGGGCAGAGCACAGAGCAGAGAGATAGCCAGAAATCGGGCTCGGCCAAGTGCAATGGGCTACCAGCAGAGGGACGGATGCTTCTGGGTCTCTGAGAAGTCAGGGAAGGTTCCACAGAGAAGGTACAGTTTAGGGGGCGCATCATAAATGCATTCTAGGCAGAGAGGGCAGCAAAAGAGGAGGCTGGGAGTGAACTGAGTGTGGCAGGAGAAAAGAGACGGGGGCCAGAAGCAAGACCCCAGGGTCAGGCTGGCAGACCATGCTGAGGAGCCTGGACTTCATCCGGATAAAGTGGGAGCCAGTGGTGGGTTTGCGGCAAAGGAGAGACACGCTCAGATTTGCACTTAAGCAAGATCCCTCTGGGGACATGCAGAACGTGTACTTTTGCAGGTGACACGACAGAAGGAAGCCCGGGGATGGGGCTGCCGCAATAGTCTGGGCAAGTGGCCGTGAAGCAAGCTGCGTTCACCTATGTGGAGCTGATGGCACACTTTCCTTGCCTTGGACTCTTTACCGCCCACCTCTAGTCCTTCTGTTTCTGCAGCTTCAGAGCCCCTGTCCCACAAAGAACACAGGGGGAAATGGCAATTACGTGGCAAAGGCTACCACCCACGTGACCCTTGACTGGGCTTCGGTGACGTCTGCTTTCGTTGCTGCACTGCTGCAATCCAATTTGCCCTGTGATCTCAGGCCAGTTATGGAACCTCTCCCTCTCTCTGTGTCACTTGCATTAGCCATAAAGAGGGAAATAATAATCCAGCACAAGAAAGTTCTGAGAATCAAATGAGATGGTAGAAATAGAAAGTGTTGCAAAGAGTAGAAAGTGCCATAAACATTTAAGGTATGTGATAACAACGGTAATGAGCATCTTTGTAGCTCTAAACATTTGCTCCCCCATATATCATCATCATCCTAACAGTTAGGCTGGTTGCAAATGAAATCTGCCAATTCCATATTTATTGTATGTCCAGTCTCTCTGGGGAGAGGCAGGTCTTAAAGCCCGACATGGTGAACATCGTTTGCAGATTACGTTTTCATGTACAATCTAACAAGCGACCCAAAGTCATACAGCCACAAATTAAATTGACAAGCAAAACTAACAGATCTATGGAGACAGTCTAAAATATTATGGGCTTCAGAATCTGAAGGCAGAATGGATATTTTAATGGAAAAGATTAAAGTTAGAAGCACCAAACTCCTCTAGTAACTGACAAAGCATCCTGAAGCGATGTGCCAATTACTTTATACGGTTCTCCTGTGGATTCATTTGTCTGAATGCATGTATTTATGTCTGTAATAAGTAAGGAGATGTTTGAATAAAATACTTTTCTAAAAATAAAGTTGGCTAAAGTGTCTGATTTTTGAAAAAACTGTTTTACTCTTCCAGAAAAATGGGAATTAGTGAGCAAATCTGCTCAAGTGGTATTGACATGGCAGCTCGTTTCCAGAATTCTTTTTTTTTTTTCTTCTTTCCAATAATCCTAGAGGGTACAGGGGACACAGCTCAAGCAATGTGGCAAATTCCTTTGGATAAGCTCTCCCTCTCCCCATATGGGAGAATACTGGGTAAAATGCTTAAGTACAGAATCCTGATCCAGGTACTGCAAAATCTCTCGTGGAAGGCTCTCTGGTTAATGACACGAACAGACGAAGACCGAAAGGAGACAGCCCTTGGCAACTCTGCCCCAGCCCACCTCAGCCTGCGCAGAGTCACAAAGCACCACAGGATTTAGTGGTGCTGTGAGCGGGGTCTCTACTACCCCAACTTCTGCTCACTTCCCATACTGTTACAGGATGGCTGGAATGGCCATTTTAGATATGTCCAACCAAGGCTGCATTTTTCAGGGCCTGTGTCCAACACATACATTATCCACTGTATTATCCCAAGCAGCTAATACACCCAACCGAGGGAGGAGCCATTTGGGAAGGGGAGCTGTGTGGCTTGGTCCACTTAGAAAAACCATGCTCCCCATTGCCTCGGCACTTACTCCTTCCCCTTCTGTCTTCCCACAGGCATTGACGTGAGCTTGTAGGAAATTTCTCTCAATGAAACAAAACCAACATCGTATGGTAGGGACAGGCTTTGGAGCCAGTCAGAAATGAGGCCAAATCTGGCCCTGCTCCTTACCTAACCTAGGATGTTGGGCAAGTCATTTCACTTCTCTGAGCCTTTATTTCCTTACCTATAAAATGAGGGATTACAGCAACTACTCTGAAGGGCTGCTTTGAGGACTGATTTCCTTCGTCTATATCAAACATTTTGTTCTGTGTTTGCCACATAGTAGGCACTCAATAATTACCAGTATTCCTTTACTGCAACTATGGTTTCCCTCTTTGGTGTGATCCAGTGGAATTTCACGGTTCAAGGAAGAACCCCATTTCATGTCTTGATTATGTCCAGATCCATGAGATTACAGTCTCCTCGCAATTATCTAAATTTACTAAGAGTTGCAATAAAAAAATAACCTACCACAGGAAATAGTCCAAAAAGCAGCCCTATTTGGTCTGGCACATGTATTAGCATGGAGTTTGAATGACAGTGTTTCTGCTGTTCCGAAAACTTGTAATCTTCCAAAAAATACAAAGCTACTACAAATATCTGACCTGGAAAGAAAAAACAAACTAATGTTGGGGTGCCTGAGTGGCTCAGTCAGTTAAACGTCCGACTTCAGCTCAGGTCGTGATCTCACAGTTCGTGGGTTTGAGCCCCATGTTGGGCTCTGTGCTAACAACTCAGAGCCTGGAGCCTGCTTTGGATTCTGTCTCCCTCTCTCTCTCTGCCCCTCTCCCGCTTCTCTCTGTCTCTGTCTCAAAAAAACAAAATAAAACAACAACAAAAACAAACAAAAAAACCAAAACATTAAGACAAATTAAAAACAAATGAAAAAAACCCAAAGTAATGTTGTGTCATCTGGATCTCTGTTCACTCCTCAGCAACTCTCCTATGTTCCCACCCTAAGGTGCTTTGGGCACAAGCCCCAAGCCAAGTGGACTTTGCAACCCGAAAATGCTGGGTCGCATTCTCCCTACCACAAGGTGGTAACTACATGCTCTCACTTCAGATGCTTCCTGTTCTGTCTCCTGCTGATGCAGAATAAGCAAAGATGTGGTTTGTGTTGAATGCTTTGCTGCTAGATGGTGAGTATGTACTCTAAAGAAATTGGAGGCCCAGTGGATCTAGAAGCTGGTAGAGTGGGATGGCTGGGGTCACATGGCCGGAGTGAGTGCGGGGTTATGACTGGTAGTGAGACTTGTCTGTAAACTCCTGGGTGCAGGGACCATGGGGCGGTGGCGGGGCTGTTCTCTGTGTCCCCGGTGACCAGCATGGCATCTAGCACACACCAGAGGCTTAGGAAATAGCTACTGAATGAAAGAATGAATATGTGAATAAATGAATGAGAAAGGATGAAATCAACTATCAAGAGCCTATAAGGAGCTAAAGAACCGAAAGAGGATTGTATAAAACACAGAGTTCTGGCCTCAATCTCTGGCTAAAATCTGAAATGGATAAATATCTAAACGAATACACTGTTCATTTCCAGGGATCTGGCCTTTGTGCTCAGAGCCTGAGAACTCTTCTAAGTCCCTGGGGTCCCTCCAGCCAGCAGCTCCCAGGGAAAGCCCGCAGTGGGGGGGCTTCCGGGTTACAAAGGCTGAAGGCTGACCCACCGTCTTCTCTACCAACAAGCACTTGCACCCAAGAAGCTGTGCCGGATGAGTCTTCTCACTGCCCAAAGGTACTAACAGTTACCGTTTACGGAGAGCTCAGCACTCTGTTCAGCACGTGTATACGCTGTCTCTACCCCTCAGGTAACCTTGAAGTAGGCATTATCCTCACTTCATAGACTAAGGATCTGAGGTCCTGAGTGAGTAAGTAACTTGCTCAAGGCATCAGGCCACCAGCTATCAGGAGGTGAGGCAGAACTGAGATACGTGCACAGGTCTGCCCAAGTCCAGAGGCCGTGCCTTCATCACCACTACGCCAGCCTGCCGCCTGCCACTCTGGGGCTGCGTGTGAGGACCAAGACCGCCAGCAGTGGTGGCGGGGGCACTGTGTCTGGCCCCTGCTGCAGACTGCCAGGGAACGGACGGTGTGGGAGGAGAGGCTCGCTTCTGGGCATGGCTCAGTCTGGCACCATCAGCGAGCCTCCCGGACAGGCTGCCCGCACGCATCTCCTCTGTTCAGCCACCCTGCCACCTGCTGAAGAGTCAGGCAGCTGCTGGAATCCCCACAATGAGGATCTAGGGCAGCAATTCCTGGAGAGTCTGCAGATCTTCCTGCCTCCTACCTACAGCTTTTATAAATGTGGTTAACATATTTGCAGACTCTCAAGATGAACAACACTAGACATAATTAATAGATTGTCTCTGGAAAATGCTCCATTGAACGTTTTTCTAAAAATAACCATT